GCCTTCGGTTCGCTTTGCAATGCTGTAACATTCGCTCGTTGGCTTGCTCGGAGATCGAGAGCAGATGACCAATCGGAAGGGGAATCCGATGGTCCAAAGCTCGGATGATGTTTAATACATCGATCTCCCCTGTGACGAAGGTGGGTCCTCCCGACTCCATTTCTCCTAAGGACGGTCGCCACTCCGCCACCTCTTTTGGTTCTGGCGCTGGTCTGATTGTTCCAATCATTCCAAGCCCAGAATATCCCAGCGAAGGCCTCTTCCGTGGTGGCCAGGGCACTTCCCCCACTTTCTACTTCTTCCATCAGGGCTCCGACTCGTCCAGGTCCGTTGGCGATGGGGGCCGTAGCCATAGGTGCGACCCCGATTCGCTGTTGCGGGGGTCGGTGGCGGCAATCATGRGCTAGATGGCCTGATTGATGACAKGCTTAACAAACATTCAGATTATTTGCGACTCCTCCGAGCGCAGGGGCCGGGGCTAATCCTTGCTGCATCGGAGGGGCACGTACCGCAATGGGTCGCATGTTCCTCATCATGGTTTCCAGCCGAGCATTGTGCTCTCGCTGCTCCTTTTTGCTTTCCTRGATCAAGCTAATCAAGGTTTTGGTTAGTTCGAAAATGGCCGCCGATTCGTTTGATCGTACAGGCGCCTCAATCGGTGGCGGGGGTAACGTCCTGACGGGCGGGGGCAACATAGGAGCAGAGATGCTCGGAGTCTCACTTAGGATTACTCGTTTGGGGCCTATCTCTTCCATATAGGTGACATATCCTGATACGAACCCTATGTTTTCAAATTTGTTCTGTAAAGCAGTAAGCTCTGCTCTGGCTCGAGCGAGCTCGGTCGAATCTCCGTCTCTAGGGTAATCTTCTCCTTCCAGGAAGTTCGCCGCAAACTTCCGTTCCATTTCTTCCGCAGCAACCATAATTTGTTGTAGCGTATGATTGATGGGGGGAAATTGCTTTCGCAACTTTGCCCTTATCGTTCGACTGAGGAGTCCGTCAATGAACAAATCTCTTCCGACTTGCTCACCTCGCTCAGTTTTTACGAACATTCTGTAGAACCGGTTTCGATATTCCGCAACGGATTCGAGTGTTTTTTGCACTCGATCCTTGATCATGTACAGCGCTTGCTATGGGTGGACATAATCGAATCGGTTCATAAAGTCCCGTTCGAAGGTCGGGAGATCCACCCATACATAGGTACTAAACCAATGATGGGCGTCTCCACCCATTCGAGCCGGAATGTTGATCTGTGCTTCGTTGTCGGTATACTGTTGGGTTGTAAGTGTGGCCAGCCATGCTCCTGCGAGATGGTGTGCGGGATCGAACAAATAGAGATCAGGTGGCGTCATGGAAGCTCATGCAYGTGGGGCAGGTTGATTAGGTAGACTAGCATTTTGTTGCGGAACTGGATTTTGCACATTGGCAGCCATATTGGCTGCTCGTCGGTTAGCCGATYTGCTTCTCGTGACGATAGGGTCGCATCTATGCGCGTTCCGAGGGCGAGGTCGCCCACGGTTAGCCAGGTCGCCTAATTAACGTGCTATCAATCCTAAGGCCCTAGCCACGTGTCGGCCTCCGATACCAACCTCACGCCCAGCGCGACTTCCTGATCGGAGTGGAGTGTGGGCCTGGAAGTGCGAAAAGGGGTGTGCCAAGGATTTTTGGGGAAGTGGGGGAGTCTTAGGGGTATGAACGCAATTAGGTGAACGAGGGGTACGCGCGCAAGGGTCTTCACAGTCCAAAGGGGCCGGGACACTGCAGGCGACGGGTTACGGGAAAATTAGGTCGTCGGGGGCCGCCGCGTAGCTGGGTTGGACCTTCGGAATTCCGGGGTTCTTTGCGCGCCGCTGCATCGGCAGTTTACGCAAAACGTGTTGGGCCAATAGGGGGCTATGGCCGGCCATGGAACGACACTAAGTTGATGATACGGGAGAAGGAGGCGGAAAGGAGGGAAACTGGTGGTGATCTCAACGAACCCCGGGTGGGTGAAGCAGTAGGTGTGGTCGGGGGAAGGGAAATCGGAGCACCGAGGGTCGCTAGTGGTGGCACAGTGGAATTCCCGCGGACATAGCCGATTCTCTGTGTGACAAGGGTATCGGGTCCTTATGAGCTCGTTTATTATAGGGGTGTAATAGTCCGGGTCATAGGACGACTCTGAACCCCAAGATCGCGTCATGGTATCATTGCCGATGGGATAGCGCGGGTCGGGATATCGTCACCGCGCACGAGCACGTGTAGGACAGGCCGACTCAGTGGCGCCTCAGCGTGCTCGTACGGGATGATGATTCCGCCATGACTCCTTTCGGGGTGAGCGAGTCGACGCACGGGAATGCGTGTAAGGGCGCGACTCGGATCGCGTTTACACGTGTTCTCGTGCGGCGCTCGCGGGGCTGGACTTCGGATCGCCTAATTGCTTCGTAAGTCTCGATTATGCAAGATGCAATCATACCACAACCTCATCATGGGACAAGCAAAAACGAGGACGAAATCGACATCGGGGCCAGATTCTTATCCCATTTATCGCTGCATCCGGTGCAAGCAAAGATTCGACACAAACAAAAAACAAGGGCAGGGATTCTCCGCAAAGAGATTGGCAAGCAAGCATAACATTCATGCATCCATACATTCGACAATCATACACATAATGCAATCGCAAGGACAGGTGTGAGCAAAAACCCAAGTCCAGATTCCAGAAAGCCGAAACGAAGATAAGAACGGGCAAACCGCCCGGAGCCGCAATCAAAATGTATGTACACAGATGAAAAGGGAGAAGAGACAAAGAAACAGCAAATCCACGTCTAGCAACCTCAACTCTCTTCTCCTCTCTCTCTCTCTCCGATGCGGACAGTCCATCRTCACRCACCAYCCACGAAGTTGTCACCCMGCTTAGTCCTCCCGCACCCGTCGGATTYGCCCGTGCCCACAGYCCGTCGTGGCCTACGTCCATCCCGCGMGKTCGGCACCAGCCCRTCGGGTCGCCCAACTCCGACTCTACTCACCTCTTMCTTTGCTCGTGTGCTGACCCTTCCTGATCGCGCAACCCCGAGCTTCCAACTACRGGTTWARAGAGCTGACTAATCGCGCAGCCGAAATTTATAGCGTGCATGCATGCGCGAAGAACACGGAATTACTAGGACTTAGAGTGAGGATTAGAGAGRGAGCGCCTACGTTCTGCATGATCAGCCKCGGCRTGGGGGATGTAACCCTTCTCCACGCATCGATCCGAGCATGCAAGCTGCGGCTTTCAAAAACTCAGCGAAGGAAAGAGAGGGAGGGCGGGAAAGACGAAGTGCAAGAAGAAAGATACAGYTACAATGGCGCCCGCCCAAAATTACAGTTACACACGCGATTAAGAGCGCCTACTAATCAGAGTACCGTTGCTGCCGCATGAAAAGCGCGTAAACAAAAGGCGCCGCGCGGCAGAAAAAATCCTAACTACTAAATTCCTAAATTCCTATCTAATGCGAAAAAGCAAAATGAAGCACGAATTCAGAAGGAAAGTCCGAAATTCTGAGATCCATTGGGGGCTCGACAAAATTCAAAAGAAAATTCAAAAGGAACAAAGCAATTTCCCGCGCGGTGTCCACGCCCAAAAAGATCGAAAACCGAAGTCAAAAAAACGACGTCATCATTTATTAATCGCGCGCGCGCGTGGCAACGCGCCGAACAACCATCCGACCAATCACTCCACCGGCCTTCCCAAGACACACCTGGCTCTGAACCCGATCATTCGACACGAAGCGACGAAAAAGGACGAAAAAGCGAGGACACTGATGCAATTCTCCACCGATCCCGATCTCCCGTGATGGGCCCAATCTTCCCAGCCTCGGACCCCTCATTGCAACCGCGCAGAAAATCGCGTGTTACAGAAAGTGGTTCGTCACACTTTCTCTCACTAACCTCAATCCCTCTCTTACCCGTTACCCGGCTTGGCTGAAATGCCATATGAGAAAACTTACAGTTATTCGGAAGGTATGGGAATAGCCTGCCGAAGTCCTGCAAATGCCCTTCAACCCGCGAAGTCCCTAACAAAACCTTCCAAGGTTCTCCAACAATGTTTTACTCCTTGCCGAGCTCTTCCAGGCCTCACACTCCCTCATCCTGCTGGGTTACAGGGCAACCCAACTCACCCCAGCTCCGGCCAGCGTCATCCCAGCAACAACCCTTGGTTGTCCCATGGAATGCCGCCCCAAAGCACCCCCAGATCTCTCTACCAGGCCTCATGCTCCTGCATCACCAGGTTACAGGGCAACACCCCAGCACCGGCCAGCGTCGTTCTGCCATCGAACAGTCGCAGGTCACCGAGTATAACAGCCTTGGTACCACCTAAACAAAGTTGCCAGGAATCCCCAGAATCCAGAAGACATTTTTAGGACAAAACAGACTACCCCCCTTTTTTTAAGAACAGATTGCAACGTTTTTTGAAAATTTTGAGAAATTCTATGAATTTTTTTTTGGAACTAGACTCCTAAGGTAATTCCTAGTCCTCCTTTCCCCGGGACATACTTACTCGGGGACAGTACCAACCATACCAACATCACCCATAGCTGATCTCTTCTCGCCACTACGCAGCCCCCCCTGATTCGCCACTGGCTTGCCTTCCACCCTCGGCAAATCCCAGATCTCTCTACAAGGCCTCATACTCCTGCAAATTGCAGGTCACAGGGCGACGCCCCAGCTCCGGCCAACGTCGTTCTTGCATCGGCAAAACAGGGGCACATAACAAAAAAACTATTTGGATGTCAGTCCCGTTGTTATCGTCTCTGAACTCCAACACCCCAGTTACAGGTAAGGGCTAAGTGCTACCAAGGATCCAGAACCAAAGAACCTTAGTACGGACTGCACAACCAAACAACCACCCACTCTCCCCGCAACTATTGGAGAAAACTACAGGTCTCGTGTTCAGTCCTCAACCGACACACGGCTGGTCTCATACCCTCCCATGCTAGAGTTACAGGACCCCACGAAGCCCCAGTACTGATCAACCTAGCGAAGATGGTGAGGAGTGCGTTCCTCCCTCGGCAACTCCCCATAGCCGCACGCCCCAAACGGTGACAGGGATACACCCCAGCTACGGCCACGTCGAAAGTGTTGGTTCTATCTTCCTCCCTCGACAGAACTCCCCAAGCCTCATGCTCCTCTCCGGGTCACAAAGCAAACCACCCCAGCACCGGCCTGCGTCGTCCCAGCCCCTTCCTTCTGACGTACTCACAAAACCCACAGTCCCCCTCGGTCGCCCCCCCTCCCCCCTCTTACCCTGCAGCCTTCTTGGAGCAAGGACTTGGATCTTCTCCATAGGGAGTAAAACCAAGCCCCACCCCTCGTACGAACAACATCTCATTAGGGGAAACACCCTAAAGAAGGGAACTGATACTGCCCACCACCTATACCTACCCAACCCGTCTCCGGCAAGACTTACTGCAGTGGAGCCACCATCTCCCTGCTGTTATGCCCTAATTCCACTCTGCAGGTAGCTCCTTCCCACAGAGCGCGTCCTTTCCCTCCATCATATCATCCTACCCCCTCAATACAGCCCCCTCCTTAAGGGAAAACGAACAAAATTAGGCAAAGCTAAGTGAAAATACGATGCACTAAGATGCAATAGGTTCAGATTAGAGCAGCATGATCTTGGGATGTAAATTCCAAGGATGATTTAAGAAAAACGAGTTTGTATCAGAAATCAAGAAAAAATCAAGACCATACGGTCAATGAGCAGGAAAATTATTGAGTGGCAAAATTCACAAGAAATTATACGAATTTTAAGTTTAGACAAGTGGACCCCCCGCAGCGACGCTGCGGCTGAGGAGAGGGGCCCCTGAGGAGAGGGGCGAACAGGGGGGCGGGGCTGTTGTTGTGATACTGCTCGGGGTGTTTTTTTCTTTTTTTTCTTTTTTGTGTCGTCATATTCACGATACACTCGAAAAAAATGTGACTGTGGCAGACCGTTTCGGACTGATCAGGAGGTTGTGTGTGTGTGTGTGCATGTGTGTGTGTGTGAGCTCTCTCTCTCTCTCTGTCACACACACACACACACATCTCTCTG